CCGCCGCCGCCGGCTCCTGTGAGAGCGGTTCCGTGAACTCCAGCTCAGCCTCCACCATGTCCCCATCTCCGTCGAAGTCCAGCAGCCACCTGCAGCGCCCAAAGCGTACGGCAGGCTATACTACCGTTAGTCATCCGGAACTGTCACGGCAAACGTATGGGCAACACCAAGGGACCAACATGATATTTACGGCAGTGTACGGTGGTTTGGGTATGTGTGTGTGTGTGTGTGTGTGCTAACATACCCTAACACACCCGGCAGATGAACAACCCCAGCAATAGCAGCAGCAGTAAAATCGGTAGCAGTAGCAGTGACAGTTGCATCAGCTCCTGGGTCTCAGCCCTACACCACGGGCCCCCCTCCCCCCTCCCCTACCCTCCCCTCCCCCACCTGCACCACACGGGGGGGTGGTTCCACCGCTCCTGGAAGTGCACCTCAGCTCGCACCACGAAGATGCCCCACCCCACTCTCCGGACCTGGAAGGGCGGCTCGGTCAGCACGATTACGGACGGACTGTTTACAGAGGGGGGAAGAGGGGGAAGAGGGGGAAAGGGATAGTAGGAAGGGAGGGAAGGGGGGAGCTGAAGAGGCGCAGGAAAACTGGAGGCCCGGGTAAACCTGCTGGGGCGGTAAGCATGCGGTGTGCTAGAGCAGTAGGGACGGAGAAGGAATCACAGGCCGGCGATATACCTACCACAGACCTAGCACAGACAGACAGACAGACAGACATGGCAGGAGGAGACAGTTAGGCACAAGGCAGGCAAGCTGCCGTACGGGAATATCATTGGCGGGCTTTAATGGTGCCGTACACCGTCGTGTGGTATATATCATTGGAAGCCTTACTCGCCCAACAAGTCCCCCTCGGGCAGCTGGTGGTGGTGGTGGTGGTGGTCGGGGTGGGGAGGGGCTAGAGGAGAGCGGAGGGATTGAGGGGAGCAATACTCGGGGGCATTGACCATCCGATATGGCCATCCGGACTGCGTGCATGGCCTGCACTGCAGTACCCCTTTGTCGTACCTGAAGGTCGGATGCAGGTGTACGACCACTCGCTCGATGAACTCACTTTCGTCTTCTGCGCTATCCATGCCAATGAAGAAAGTCCAGTCGTGTGTGTTTCGGTGGGAGGCGCTTCGAGACTGAGAGCAGGGTGGGGGAAGAAGGGGTGGAGTGGGATGCGGTGGTGGGGAAAAGAGATGTAAACTACTGAATGACTGCGTATTGGCATTCTGATGATAAACAGAGAACTACATACTCTTCTTCATTAGACGGACTTAAGAAAGAAGAGATCTCCTCAAAAGCCGGCGGCGGGTAAAGCTGTGCGCGAGAGGAATGGGTGGAAATCACCTGAGGTGGGTGGGTGGAGGGGGAAAGAGGAACCCCAGACAGATGCTCATCCCAGAGGCGGGTGTGGAACGGGTGGAGGGTGGGGGAAAAACCCTACCGTACAACTCGACACGTCGGAATCGGAGGCCGAAGATGCGGCGTGCGAGAGGTAGATCTGGTTGGTACAGATCTGGTCAATCTGGATACACACGCATGAGCCAGATGAGAGTCATGAGCACGATGAGGCGAGGCATAAGAGGCGAAAGGCAGCAAAGGAACACAGTAGAACCACTGGCCGATTCGGGTTGCCGTACATGCAGCGCCGTACACACGTAATAAAATATACATGTGCCTCAAGACGAAACGAAGCGCCGTGTACTCGCTTGCTCGCCTGCTCGCCGGGTGCGAGAAAGCTGTGCAGGTTGCCCACGTAGAGCTTCTTTGCGAAGGACCGCAGGGAGGCGAGCTGCGCGGCCTCCTCAGCGATTTCCGACCCGCGGGTCGCGTACGAGGCGGGATGGCGTGCCTGAACCTCCGCGGCCTGCACATTTTTTCGCACAGAAGGGCGCTTTCCTCAAAATAAATCAAAACTGATAAAGAACACAGCAAACAAATTTAAAGGATAAATAAATAAACGGAGATAAAGAGGAGAGGAAGAGAGGAGAACTATCGAGTCTTAAGACCAGACCGGCCAGGCGTTCAAGCCAGACGAAATGGGGAAAAGGGTCCAGAATGGGAAAATGGGTATTGCCCAAGAACTTCCTTGCGGGCGAGTTGGAGGGGGAGAGGGGATATCGAGGGCGGGAGGTGCTCCATGTGGGTGAAAGGGACCGTTCCCAGGAGGCAGAACCGTACGGCAGTAAGACCAGCACACTATCATAGGTCTCTGCACCCCGTCTCCCATGTCCCGGGTCCTGATCTGACCACCCCCCTCACCCTCACCCTCACCCTCACCGGGGGTAACCAGCCCCCCTCACCCCTCGCCGGGGCAGGATTCACTTTGCAATCTCTTCATACACTGGCACTGGCACTGGCACTGGCGCTAGCAATGAAACAACAACAAGTTAACAATACAAGGATAAAAGCCATGGCCGCAGCTGCAGAGGCTCTAACACAGCGGGACGTACCCGCCGGGTGTTCCCAGGCATATCCGCGGGCACCAGGCTGCGGCACAGGGGACACGAGATAGCGGCGCCGGCCGACGGCGGCGCGCCGCCCGCCAGCACCGTTGCCGTGTCAAACAGCCGCAATGCCTGACCCGTGGGTCCGTTGCTATCGCCGCCACCGCCGCCGCCGCGTTCACCAGCCGGAACGCCCGACGTGGCGGGGCGCCGCAGGCCGTTGCGTCCTCGGTTGCTGACGTCAGCCCAGCGGCGGAAGCAGCGGCCGCAAAACGTGTGGCTACACGGTGTCGTGACGGGGTCGTACAGGATGTGCATGCACAGCGGGCAGCAATCGCAGGGCGGCAGATCTCCGTCACCTTCGCCCTCGCCCCGCTCCTCCTTCTTCCCTTCCGTCGCCGCCGAAGGAACAGCTCCGAGTGCCTCCAGTGATCCGCGAAGGGTTTCGGAGCCGTCAACAGCGTTATCGCCGCTGTTTCCACGGAGGCCGCCGGTGGGTGCCAGGGACGCGCCACGTGGCTCGTTGCCGCCCATGTCCGGGTTGCCCGGGATCGCAGCTTCGGCGCGCGCGTCTGGTAGCATTATTGTGCAATACTCGGTGTGGGCAGTAGTGATTCGTTCGGAGTCCGCGGTTCCGGTGCTGTTATTGTTGTTTCGAGGACTCTGCTGGAGACGTCGTCGCTGGGCAGGTGGCTCCAAGGAGGCGTTGTTCGCGGGTGGCAAGCGGTTCATGTCGTGGGCGTCGCCGCTGACGGTTGGTTGTGCCCTTGCCTAGCTATCCCCAAAAATCGCAACCCTAGCAGCAGCGCTATAATTATATCCTTTGGCAGGTGGGGCAGCAGCTAAGGACGGATTAAAAACAGCTGATCGACTTGCGGCTGCGGCTGCGCTGCCAACCTGCAGCACAACAGCTTTGGCGAGCTTGAGTAATTTTGTTTCTATTTTCGTTGAGGTGTTCTGCAGTCAAAAGTGAAGCATTTGCGTCCTTAATCCTCGGCGACGGAACGGATTTCCTCTTTGGTTGTGAAATCGAGACAATTAGTAAGGCCTCCTTTCTCGACGCTAAGCCGAGCTCTCCCGAACGCGCGGAGCTCGCTGCTTAGGTACCCATAAAAATCGCGGTAATAGATACTGGTAATGGCAAAGATGCCGGCGCGGCAAGAAGATTTATTACGTTGAGGCACCATTCTGCGGTATACGGCATCATTATGAAAGGTGTGCCAAAACATTTTTTTCGAACCCGCGCCATCATCGGCGCCAATTCGCAGATGTGAAACTTTAGGCATCCATGAGCGTCTCGCCGTAGAAATTGTTTGACGGCTGAGGCGCAGAGCTATAAGCCTTTTTGACACGGAGTCAAGGTTCGCTCAGCACGTGATCACGTAATTATATACACTGATTAAGCACCCAACCGTCAAAATGAACAAATGCGACACCTTTAGCCGAGAGCTGCGGTAAGATGCATAACTGATCCTGGCACGGTGACACAACCCAACGAACCCAATCACAACGTTGACATGACGGCCGAACGCGCCTGGATTGGACCACTTCCAGCTGCCTTTGCCTAAACTCTTTCTGCCTCTTGCTTTGGCAATGGGCGTTCACAGCTTGCGCCGCATTGTTATACCGATATCTTCATCAACCCCGTCAATCCGCTGCCACCAAAGCTGAAAGGTTCCGAAGGGGTCTCGAAATCTCGATGACAAGTATTGGCCCCGCCAAAAGGGAGCTACACATATCAGCTCCCTCCTAGGACGACCCATGGGACCGCAGGTTCCGGTGCTGCGCATTGCTTGTGCGAATCAACTGTGACTCCTTAAGCCGCTGCTGCACCTTAAGTGACACAGAAGACATAATTTGAAGGGCTAGGCACCTTTATTATGTAGACGATACCGTCAGGCTGCTTGCACTGGGGCCGCGCCCACCCCCACACTCCTCCCTGCACGTGGCCTCCCTCCACCCGCGTCCACCCCTATATAGGCCGCACTGGTCAGCACATTGGTAGCAGAACCACCACCGCCGCACGGGAGTGTCCCCCACCGCCCCACGGAAGTCCATCCCCTTGTGGTACTGCTGCTGCTGTTGTTATTTTTTTATAGAACGTCGTTCGTTTTCCCTGCGGCGCGCTGTTCCGCATCCTCGGTTCTAGTCACCGCGGGTCGCTTGCTGCCATGTCCTGTTTTGGCCACGTGAGCTTTCCATTGAATCCAACCAATGCAAGCGCTCCACCCTCCTGGGTATCGCCTCAGGAGAGGACGCCAGCCAGCGGCCAGCTAGGCAGCACCACAGCAGCGCATCACGCCTGTAAGGACTTAAGTCATGACGTGTGTCCTAGGGAAACAAAAGCATTTATGGTTATATTGTAGCGCCGTCGTTTCCTTTTGGCCATCCGGGAACACGCCTTACCTTTGGACAGATCCGTTGGCATCGTCTCATCCTCATACCTCGGTACAGGAACCCTTTTGGGAATGTAGTACTGTTGTAGCGCGATAGCTACACAGGAATGATGAGCTTATTAAGGAATATGCGAATCTAATTATGATTATGAAATCTTATATGGCTGTCAAGGAATCGTTTATAAGAATTCAACGGAACTGAACATCAAGGATCTGTACGACAGCCTTACCGAAATCCAAACTTACTGAAATCGTCTTTGCTCACAGAACGACGGGCGGTTGTTTAGAATTCATATTCTTCACACGTTCGGGGCGCGGTTTTATACCGTGGTCGGGGCAGTGCCGGCCTGAGACAGACTTCAAGTGTCTTTGGCACTGCACCCAGCTACAACTGCCAGCCACCTGCCTGTCGCCACCCAGCTAACCAATCTCCGTACAGGGCGATGCGGGTGACCGGCCGGCTCAAAACCGGAGTGTGGTGTGTACTGCCACTGCCTTGCCTGGCTACTCGTTACCCGTGCTTTGGCAAGAGAGACCTTTCCTGACCACCATCAAGCTCCTATTGCTGTCACATTTCCAACCTCCCCTCCCCCCCTCCTCCCTCTTTACCTATACCTGACATTGCCATTCCCTTTACTTACTCCACAGCCCCCCAGGCTGCTGCCCCATGAGGCCCCACTGACACCAATAAAAACCTGCGCCTACACCTCCGCACCACCCGCCTCTAACCCCCTCACCCAGAGCTGCGGATGGCAAGTGTCACCGTACCATACACCTACTTTACCTAGTGGTGTATCCATCACGAGTACTCTGCACCGCAACCCAACATTCTAACCTCTCTACTTCCGCGGGGCCATATGCCCCCGGCTCGTCCCTCTCAGAACACACCCCTCACTGCTGTAGTAGAGCATTCGAGCCTCTCAACTCTCGATCGCTATTCGAAACGCTTTTTTCATCTGAATCCTATTACTGCCCCCAGACCGTGTCACATTGCACCCCCAGTCAGGTCACATCACATCACATCGCGGACCGCGATACATCCTGCCGTATAGGATACAGCCGCCCCTCCCAATGCCAGCAAGCTCGACCTAGGCCCAGCCCTCTCTACCCCCTGACAGGCCGAGAGCGGGTCCGGTCCCGTACTCTTACACGTACGGGTGCCAGGCTAGCGTCCATCGGCTTCTTCCTATCCGTCGCCAACCCCCCTGTCGCCGGTCACGACCCTGGCGCCGCCGCGGCGTTGCCCTCCAGCCCCAGGTACTGCTCCAGCGCCCTGCGCAGATCCCCACCCGCCAACCGTAACACCCGCTCCGCCGCCTTCTTGTCTCGTAGCTCCAACTCCGCCGCAAGCAGGTCCACGTCCTCCTTGGATACCTTAACGGCCGCCAACTCGCGCTCCCTGGAGTGGGTGTGGATGTGTCGAATGTGCAAAGGTGAGGGTGCGAGCGTGGGCGCAAAAGGTGATAGGTGATGTCGGAGGCCCGCACATGTCCCAGCCCCCCATGCAGCAGCCTCCTTGCAGGGGCCTCAAGAGACTCCCTCAGCTCTCTCGTGCTTCCTCAGGCCTGGGCGGCGGGGGCCGGCCTCAGGGCTCCCACATCGCAGCGCCACATCGGCCACATGCACACCACTGCACCCCATTCAGTCAGTAGAGTGCCAGAGCCCCCCCCCCCGGTAGTGCTTAAGCCGTCGTCAGGGATAACGGGGCTGAAATACAACCCCCTTGCCACTAGGGCTCTGAGCGGCTATCCGTATCACGCAGCGCGTGTGTGGCAGCACAAGGAGGTCCCAAACGGCAATGACCGCCGCCAGATGCCACGTGCCGCTTAGCGGCAAAGCGAGTTACCACCATCACTACGCGGGCGCGGTGGAACGCACCTCTGCCGCTCCGCGTCTTTGCTTGCCTTCTGTGCGGCAAACAGCGCTTGCATGGCCTGGGGAGGATGAAGGGAAATCAGGTTGGGAGCCGTACAAATAGCAAGCGGTGCGTATTGGGAAGCAATGGACCGGTAGTTCGGTAAAAGCTGAAAGTAGCGACCGTAAGGTTGGTGTGAGGTAAGAGATGCTCAGGCGGCAAGGTAACGCCAGGCAAGACCCCGTCTCTGCAGGCCCGCGGGCTGGAGAGTGGCACAGGCCCTTCCCCTTCCCCATTGGTGATAGGCTTAAAATCCGCCGCGTCAGTCAGCGAAGCCGGTGCTCAGCAACGACCCACGGGTCGCCAGCTCAATGAAGCGGCGTGTTTCTTGCAGGCCAGACCGCTCGGCGGCACTGCATGTAGAAGATGCGCGTGGCGTTGCCGGATGCGGTGCAGTGGTGCCGCAGGCCGGGTCATGAATGATGGAATGGAGGCACGTCCACACGAGAGGCTAGGCCTGGGAACGCGCTCTGCGTGTCGCCATTTCAACTTTGCGTCTTTCTGAGTTCACCTTGCCACGCAAGTAGAAACGCCCGTGCGCGGGCCTTTCATTTGCATATCCACAACAGCTCCTTAAGCAATGCGTGTAAGGTACGTGCCGGGTTTGGTCAGCTCACACAACGTGCTAGATTGCTAACGCTGGTTGATTGCCCACCTGTGCAACTTTGCTCTCGTCCATTTGACGCTCCTCGGGACCCTGCGGCATCGGTCAGAGAAGTGGTCGGGGAGTCCAAGGCAGGTCCGTACACGTTTATCAACGACGCGAAGGACAAAGCTGCCATTATCAGGCTACACATATGATTCCCCTGCTAGGTTCAACGGCTCAGATCGGACATGATCAACGGGTTGGCCTGCCTTATCGGTCATCGACTTCAGGGCCGCCGCCTGTTCACGCCCTTGTCTGTCCTTGCTCGCTAATTCCTCCTGCTCTTGCTCGTTCTCATCACGTTCATCATCCGCCATCTTGACGATGTGTTATCAGTCAAGCTATGCGATCAGTTGCTCAAATTGGCTAGCGTGGACGAGCCTCGCAAACGTCGCCAGACTTGGTTATTAACCTAAATTCCTTTTTGCAATTATATTGGCGTGCATCAGAAACTGATCGTTACTCAATTACATTTGCTGCATCAAATTCGTACGCCGGTCACACCGTAGGCCAGTCAATCCTTTTTCTTCTTTGCCCGCTCGCAGCTCCGCAAAAGGGTTTCTTATGTAAATTTATGGCGAAGCTGCTATGAGCTTAAGGCTTGAACGTTAAGCCCTACTTGGGCAGCTTGACTGCAGTTATCACTTGTTTAGGCTTTGGACTGGGTTAAATCAAGGGATTAAGGGGTTGGAAGTGCTGCGCGTGGGGGATAAGGACGTTTGCGAAAAGGGAAACAGTGCGAGGCTGCTGATCGGCCGTTGATCATGGCGAGATGGTCAAGGATCAAAGCAAGGCTGCGAACGACAGTCGCCAGGTTCAAGGCGAAAGCATTCGTGGTCAGGTGCGAGGCAATGGCTGTGCGCCTGGCAGCAGCTCCACATGTGTGCGCAGACAACCCAGCCGCAACCGTATTTCTCCCCGCATCCTAGGACGATGGAAGAACAGAGGGATAAATCGGCCAGCGGCTTTGAAATGCACAAGGTACTCGGGCCCTTCGACCTCATTATGCTGGGCATCGGTTGCATTATCGGCGCTGGCGTGTTTGTGCTAACCGGCGTGGCTGCCGCCAAATATTCGGGGTAAGCGTAATCGTGCAAAAGCCCAGCCGATCCTGGGCCTTGCACTGTCCGGGTGCTGGCTTTTGTTGATTGTTTTGTGGGCGGGTTGGGGGACGTCACGTCTGCGCCGGCCGAAGCCGTTTTGCGAACGTATACGCGGCTGCCGTATGTTGATGAAGGGTACGAAGTGGGTCTGGATTTCACGGCAAACAAATGCAAGTCCAACAACATTGGGCAGGTTTGAACCCATGCGCTGAGTGACAGCGCGTACTAGGAATGCCAGCAAAACACAAAGTACATATCGCAGCCTTACGTCGCAAATCACTAAGAAACCCAAACCCAAACCCACATGGAAGATCCAGATTTGTGGAAAACCCAAATGCCTTATGAACCTCAAATCCACAATAAATTGAAACCTCAGGGAGGAACAACTTCTGGGAGGAAAAAATTTAACTTCCCCCGAAACCCAAATTCCATCTCAGGAACATATGGCCTGTTAAGGCCTCTTTACTGCAGAAGTTCACCTTTACCGTCACCCTCACCCTCACACTCAACCTGTACCTCAGCCCTACTACCTTATCCGCATCCTAGAATCATTTTCTGCCGTGTTGCGCTGTGCTGCGCAGCCCTGGTGTGGTGCTTTCCTATGGGTTGTCCGCGCTGACAGCGATGCTGACGGCCTTTTGCTACGCTGAGTACGCCGCGGAGTTGCCGGTAGCTGGTGGGGCCTTCAACTACATCAGCATGACGTACGGCGAGTTTGCCGCCTGGTAGGGGCAGGGGCTGTGAGGATGTGGGAGAGCCTGTCGCTGCAGCTGCTGTACTGCTGGGACTTTATACTCTGCATTTCCCTTTTTCCTTACTCGATGAAAACAGTTGCTGTTTTCCTGAGGGGGGTTTGGGGGCGGGGGCCGGGGGCGGGGCTGGCCTAGCCAACTCTTGGGATTGGGCTGGTCGTACCGGGTTCCTCGAGCACCTTGGGTCGGACAGTGAACTGCAGGCAGATGACCGGCAGCGGAATGATGTGGACCGCTATGCGACCGACCCTATGCAAGGGGGACGGGGGAAATACACAACGGACGGGGAAAGGGAAGGGGTCGAGCACGTGAACAGCGGGCAAGGTGATGGCCACCCTTTTTCCTGCGTAGGGGGCCCTACTTCGAATCATTATATAAATATACAAAACTCCCAATCGGTACGTCCCAGGGCAACCAGCCCCCTGATCCCGTCTGACTTGGCCGTTTCTTTCCCTTCCTGCCCCGCCGGCCATCTTTGGGCGTCGTCTTTCCCTCACCCTCACCCTCACCTCTATCCCCCAACTGCTTGGCCGCCTGCATGGTTCCCCCCGCTCCCCCCCTTTTCACGTCCCGCCAGGGTCACCGCATGTGACCTCATCCTCGAGTACACCCTGTCGGCTGCGGCGGTGGCCAAGGGCTTCACTTCCTACACAGCAGCGCTGATCGGCGTCAATGTCAAGTACCTGCGGCTCCAGGTGCGGGGCAGTCGCGGGACATGAAGAGGGCCGTGCTGGGTTGTATGATATGAAACTGAAATCGCGAGTAAGGAGCATGCTGCTGTTGCTGCATCAGCAGCACGTGGCCGGATGCGGCATTTGGTCTCTTGTACCCTCTTGGTGCTGATTTCCCTCGCCGCATGGATTGTAACAACAGTAATTATTTCTAATTACAACCTCCCCACAATATAACCTTCCTCCGCCCTTTTCATCCTCCTTTCATTCTCTCCCACAGGCCTCGGTGTTCACCCTCGACCTGCCGGCAGCAGCCGCTGTAGTGGCCATGTCCTTCATCCTCATGCGTTCAACGGCGGAGTCCTCGGTCTTCAACGTCATCGTGTCGGGGCTCAACGTGGTGCTCATCTTGTTCGTCTTGGGCGCGGGCTTCCCCCACGTGAACTCGGACAACTACTCGGACTTCATGCCGTTTGGCCTGCGCGGCGTCTTCACAGGTAACGTGGGGGCGCGTGAGGTATATGTGGGCGCGCGTGGGGAACGTGTGCCTGTGTTGAGTGAATGTGGGGTACATGTGGGTATGTGTATATGTTTCGGGGGTAGGCGAAAACGGCGTGTGGTGATTCGTAGTTATTCGTTGCACACTTCTGATTGTTAGTTATTCGTTGCACACTTCAACTGCACGACAACTACCTGGTTTCAGGCGCGTCGGTGGTGTTTTTCTCATTCATCGGATTCGACACGGTGGCCACTGCGGCCGAGGAGGTCAAGAACCCGGGTCGGGACCTGCCCATTGGAATTGTGGGCTCCCTGTCCATCTGTACGGTGTTGTACGTGGCCATGTGCCTGGTGATTACCGGCATGGAGAGGTAAGGGAACCCTCGGCCGTCCAGGGATGTGGCCGAGGGCGGCTAAGGGTGCCTGAGACTGGCCAGGCATTGGGAGAACAAACCGAACCGCCGACTAGACGTCCGGGCGTGTCAGGCTGAGGGATGATGTACCTTTCCCTTTAAAGCGGACTACAGGTTACACTGTGCCCCTTGACTAGCCGCTTGACTTGGCCGGTGCGCGTACACCCCGATGCTTCCATTCTCCTGTTACCGCGACTGCTAACGCTATGCCGTCGCTGCTTCTACACTGGTGCTCATGTCGCTGGTGCTGCTCCTCCCGGTGCTCCCCCTGGTTCCGAGTCGCAGCTACAAGACGATAGACCTGAATGCGCCCTTCGCGGTGGCGTTCTCCAAAGTGGGGTGGAGCTGGGCCCAGCGGGTGGTGGCCGCGGGGGCGCTCACCGGCATCATCACCAGCCTGCTGGGCTCCCTGCTGGGGCAGGCGAGGATCTACGTGACGCTGGGAAGGCAGGCGCTGGCGCCGGCGTGGCTGGTGGGTTGGTGGTTCCGTCAGCGGGGCGGTGGGTCAGTGGGCCGGGCGGGAAGCATCGTTGGTCTCTCGTTCTCAAGTGCTTAAAGAAGCTGAAGCTTTAGCAGCAAGCAGCGGGGCCGCATGATGGTGCTGGAGGTGGTAGATGCGCCTATCAAAAAGGGGGGAGACCGAAGAGTGCAGCAGCAAGCCTGGAAATTTCAGGAACGGATGTAAGGGATGACCTGAGCTCGCGACTTCAATTTGCCCGCGCGCAATCACGCTTTCCCCCTTCCCTTTTTCCCTTCCTCCTTTGTTTCCACCCTTTGCATTATTAAGGCCCGAGTGCACCCAGTTCGCGGCACCCCCGGCAACGCCACCATAATTACTATGTTCACGGCCGGCTTCCTGGCGCTCTTCATCGACATTGAGCTCCTGGCTGAGCTGGTGTCCATCGGCACGTTGGTGGTGTTTTGCTCGGTGTGCTCGGGGGTGCTGTTTCGGCGCTACCACGTGCATGGCTCGGGGGAGTCGCTGCGGCCGCTGGCGTGGCGGCTGGGTGGCATTGTGCTCAGCTCCGTAGGCTTTTCGGTAGCGTTTACGGAGGAGGCGCCCATAGCCGTGTATGTCGTGTTCCTAGGTGAGCAAGCGGAGGGGATGAGGGAGTGGAGAATGGGCGGGTCGTGACACGGCGGCGGGGTCAGGCCTTCGCCACTGCCGCCGCCGGGGCGCAGGGGTGCAGGAGGTGGGGTGGGGTGGATGGAGGGGGTGTTGTGTTGCGTTGGGGGGATGGGGCGCTTGCATGTGAAGGCGGAAGGAAAGATCGCAGGACACTGAGATAGGGTGAAGGAATGGGTTGGTCAGAAGATTAGGGGACAAACCCGCAATGCCACTCCCAAGAGCCGAAATGCGTAGAGACGGTCCCATGGGTCACTCGGTCACTCGGCCCTTCGCTCGTGTTCCCCGCAGTGATGTGGCTCGCCATTACGGCGTCCTTTCTGATGCTGCCGGTGCGATACATGCCCCAGGTAAGGGTGCAATGAACTGCATGGTGCTAATTCTGGCTGTGCTTGGCATCGCATGGCTGTTCGCCCCTGTTTGTCTGCCTGCATGTTTGTCGGTGCCGCGCCGCTGCGTGAGGCCCCATGAACCTGATCTTGGCCTTGGCCATTGGAGTGCTCTCGTCTGAAGAGTCGTTCGGGCCTGGGTTCGTTTCCACCTTCTCCCCACCCCTCTCTCACACACACACACACAACACCACCCACGCAGGTATGTTCTAGGCGGGATGGCAGCATGGCATGGCTACCTCCTCCCCCTCCTACCCACCTCTGTCCTACCTTGGTCTCCGTCCTTTGCCCCCTCCCTCTCCGTCTCTTTCTGCTATCTGCTTCATCCGCCAGTGGTTCGCCTTACCCTGCCCCCGCTTCTCTCTCCCCACCTCCTCCCCTGCTCTTCAGGTGTTCCGCTGCCCCGGCTCTCCCTTCCTGCCCTCCCTGGGAATGCTGGCAACCCTGCACCTGATTGGCTCGCTCGGCTGGCCCGCCTACGTGAGGTGGATTGTGTGGTTCGTCCTGGGCACCTCCGTGTACCTGTGCTACGGAGTGCACAAGGCGCAGGTGCGGAGCGGGAGAGGACAGCGGGGACCCGGGGGGCGATGAGGGGGGGGACACATGCGGGTACGGTGGAGGAGAATTACGATGATAGGATACTGGCGTGGTGGTGACAACGGAGGGATTGCGGGGACGGTGGGAGGGCTGCGGGAAGGCAGGGGGCGAGTCTGGGGTCACGCAGCGAGTGACCCTAACGCATCCTCTCATTCGCGTGGGGACGGAGAACGTCGTAAGCAAGAAAACCTAAGACCCATACGATCCATAAGAAGGGACGGGGCGCGAGGCAGAAGTGGGGGCGGGTTAGGGGGGAAGGTGAGTGAGGGAGCATCCCCTGCCATGTGGATGTGTGTTGGTAAGTGGCCAGTGCTGACAGTCAGTGAGGAAAGCGCGTGCGAATGGGGGGGAAAGAGGGCTGGCTGGGTGTGTTGCAATCGGGCGGATGGAGGCCCGCGTGCGCGGATTCTAAGCCTTTGGACATGTTGCTCTGTTCGGCCACCGTCCAGTGGTTAGTATTCCTGTCCTGTTGCTGTGCCCGCTTTAGCCTCTACCTGCTTTTTGCTTGTGGGGCCTTCCCTGAAGCCGTACACACACACATACGCGCGCGCACACGCAATTGTTTATTCCACACGCGGATCAATTTACGTTATACATGTATCTGTACATACGCATAATTTACGTACTTTTAAATCGAAACACCACACCGCGCGGCCGTACGACATGGCTACAGCCGGGGCGCGCTTTGCTGCAGCATCACCACCACCACCACCATCATCACCACGATCGCCATCATCACCACTACCAGCACCACCACCAGCACCCGGAGCACTACCTTCGTCAACACCATTCATCACTTTGAGAATTTTAATTATTGCGGGCGCTACTGGACGTCCATCACGACAATGATGACGATGACGACAACTGGGGCGCAATTTTTCTCTTTGGCTCACCCTGGCTGGCAGCCTTTCCTCTACGCCTTCACTCCGACCTCTGGTCTGTCTCCTCCTCATCTTCCTCCTCGTCCTCCCCTTCCGCCTCCTCCCCTTCCTCCTCCTCCCCCTCCTCCTCCTTGTCCGTCTTCTCCTCCTCCTCCCGCCTTCCATTTCCCCTCTTCACCTACTCCCTTCCCTTCCACCTCTCACGTCTACATCTCGACCTTCCTCACTCCCGCGCCGCGCGGTTTCACACGCACACACATACACCGACCATTACAACGTAAAGGCGCGCAGTTCTTTATTGGGTTTTTATTGGCCATTTATGATTTAATACATGTACATGGACAGAGTCATATACGTGTAGACACAGGCACATGCACAAGCACATCGCGCAATGAGGTTGTTGGTTGTCGGTTGCGCCCCCGCCCCACAGCCCCAGAGCGACGCCTCTGTGGCTCGCAGCTCGGACTCAGGCGTCCCGCTGCAACAGACCCTCATTAAGCCGACCGACAGCAGCAGCCCCGGAGACTCGCCGCCCGGGGCACCGGGCACCTCATCCCGCGGCGTCGACAGCGGCGACGTCATACTGGCGACCGATGACGTCATAGGGCCGCTGAAAACCACGACACGTCACCATCGCCACGTCAGCGGCGGCAACGGCGGCGGCAGCGCCTTTACCTCCTCAGGGCCTCAGCTCCTTGGGGGGGGAGGAGACGGAGCCATCATGGACGATCCGACCGGCTTTGGCCGCAACGGAAGCGGTGCTGCCAGCCGCGGCGGCAACTCCAACAGCCATCCGCTTGCGTACGGCAGGCCGTACGGCCTGCCATCGGCGGGCGACGCTGAGCTGGAGATGTCGCTTGGGCCCGGCGGCGACGTGACGCCGGCGGCGGGCGGCACGGCGGGGCCGGGGTGGCGGCTGGGGTCGGCGGCGGCCCTGCCGCACGGTACCTATGTCCCGGGCGCTTCGGGCCCTGGCGGTGGCGGCGGCGCTGTCGCCCTCGCCGGGCCCACTACGGGCGACAGGATTGGGCTGTTGGGCTCCGAGACGGTTCGTTCTGACACGTCCGGCATGCGTTCCTGGGCAGGGTCGGCCACGTCGGGTCGCGTTGTGGGAGCTTCAGGGAACAGCCGAGCCCAAATCTAGTTCGGCTGCTGCTGCCGGGATGTTGTGGGGCTTAGGGTGTTGTGAGTTTCTCTCTAGCTGGGGATTTATGATTTGTGTGGTGCCGTGCAGTGCAGTGCAAGGGGGGACCCAAAACGCCCTGGCGCTGCCCTGCGCCGTTTCGGTGTTTGTCGCTTGTCCTATCTCTATCCTTCTCGATTACTTACCTGCCTAATCATAATGGGGCCGCCTTTTTGACTTTAGACTAACGATGTACAACCTACGATTTTTACTGAGTTTTTCTTCCTTTTTCGTGAGCGATCGTGAGCAAGAGAGATGCTAGACCAGCACCAGCCACGTCGCACGCCACCCGTGCAGTGGCATGGCCTTAAAGAGTATCCCTTGCGAGTGCATTCTTTTCGTGTCTGCATGGGCGTGTGGCGCATATATACGTATGTATGTTTTTGTGTGAAGTAAAGGGGGAATATAGCTTCACCCGTGGCCCCCACTGGCCTGGCAGTCCTTACTTTTCCCGATGGTTCGGGACACCCTCATCCTTCGCACCAGGTATGGCCGGCTTCTGCCAAGTCACAGTGACTTTCTTTTTCGGGTTCGGCACCCACCGCCACCAGCACATCCAGTGGAATGGAATCGACCCCCGGATCAACGGCGGCGTCCTCTTAACTCCACTCTCCTGGTCGGCTCGAAAATCACTATAAAACCGGGTCCGTGCATGGGGTTCGTGCATCCAACCTCTGACAAACTCGAGTCGGGATCGGAACCTGGTCTGGAACCTTCCAGTTTGCTATGTCTGGAGCCGGGTCTGGAACCTTCCAGTTTGCTATGTCTGGAGCCGTACATTACGAGCGAGGCAGGAGCCCTGGGGAGGGGGACTGCGGGGGCCCCTCTTTTTAGGGCGGAGGGCTTTCACTCCGACCTAGGGTCATCTGACCGAATATGCATTTGTTTAGAAAAGGTGCGCATGTGTGCCTCCGTTTTCACTACAACTTATACATGCATGAAAGCAGGTTGTCAAATATTTAAAATGGGAAGGTAGATGTGGTACGCGCGATTGTCATGGAATTTGGGTGAGCTGGAGGATATGGAGGCGGCGGTTTTCTGTGCAGGTGGAAAAGGGAGGAGCATTGCAGATTGGGGAGCTGGGACTTCTGCATCTGAAGGTAGGAAGGACCGCATTATCGTGAGCATAGTTGCACGTAGGTGCCCGGTTTCATGAGAGAATTTGTTGTGCCGTCGTGCGAGTTCGTAATGGCAGTGCCATTTTGGGCGAACGGGGCTGCATAGAAGGCGATATGAGACGTAAATGAGAAAAATATTTTGTCTAAAATTTGTTCAGATATTGAGAGTCGTCGTCATCCATTGAGGTGTAGTGTTTTCGTGCGCCCGGTGTACGGTGTTGCTACCCGTTTACGCATTTTGGGTTACCCATCAGGTACCTGGGGACCTGTATCGGTTGCTGTTTGTGCTTGAGTTTCATTTCTTAACAACCTGTAAGCGATGTAATCGTAAATGCCGATCCCGCTCGACTTGCTCACGTCCCTTTCAAAGTGCAAAGAATGCAGATAAGTGAAACATGGATCTCCAAATTTTTTCGTCTTTCATTTATATTTCTGCTTGCCATCGGCTGCCTACCTTACAACTCTGTGCAAGCGGAAGTTGCATCGACAGCTGAAACTAAAGCTGATCGCCTTCGTTCCTGCTATAACAAGCATTACAATGGAACCGCCAGTGTCTTTGAGGACTTCCTCCGGGGCTTTAACACCAGGTAGCCGGCCGACGAACTGTCCATCGACTCCTCGATTCAACCTACTTGACAACTCTTAACCTCTTATACGTTTTCAGCCTTTACTTGCATGAGGTATTTGTCAGCGCAAAGCGATCGGAGCTCCCGATGACCGTCTTCGTCGGTGCGACTCTGGAGCGACTGGCCGCGCTGGAGGCTCAGTGCCGAAGTTACCCGGGGCCCCTCTCCGCGGCCATCTACGTCCCCCTCTTACAAATTCAGCATGGTCCCCAGCTTACTTCAGAAAACAGCGACGTGTTGGCCAAGGCAACTGCGAGCATCAGGAAGGTGTTTGAAAGGTGCGGCCAGGGTTTTACCCCGCACACGAGCCCTGCCCGGCTCCTCTGGCTCCTTCCACACACAACTTCCCGACTTCCACAAACAACTTCGTTGACACCTGTCGAGGACCACACCACCACATCATCATCATCACACCACCACACCACCACACCACCACATGAATCTTGCCATTCAAAGCATAGTATTATGGCGCTTACATGTCGTGTAAGCGCGCGCGCGCGTGTGTGTGCGTGTGTGTGTGTATGTGTGCGTGTGTGTGTGTGCGTGTGTGTATGTGTGCGTGTGTGTGTGTGTATGTGTGCGTGTGTGTGTGTGTAGTGAGAGTCTCTCATACTTAAGCCAATACCACCCCTCTCCCTTACCCCGGATGCATCATCTCCTGCGCTCTCCTCCTTCAGCTTCGAATTCGGAACAACCATATCCACGTCAGCAACAACTTCTCCATCATCGTCATCAACATCGCCAACACATACAACAGCAACCGCTCCCGGCACGAGCTCCTGTGCCTTGACCGTGCTGCTCCTGTACGAGGTGGTTGCGGACCCGCCCCTCGCCGGCCTCGTGCCCATCAACACGCTGCGCAACGCCGCCCTGCTGGCCGCCTCCACCCCACTGGTGGCCATGATCGATGTGGATCTGGCGCCGTCAGAGAGCCTGGGGGCAGAAGTGCTGAGACCCTTACGACTAGGCGGAGGAGGCGGAGGAGGAGGCAGGTGCGCTTCTGTGGAATTGAAGCTAAGAAGCAGTGAGTGAGCGATTGTATGATGTATGTTTGCTTGTTTGTTCATCCGGCTACGACCACCACGTTTTCCCCTCCGCCAACACCACCAGCACCTGTCACTGCGGCTGCGGCTGCTGACATCACCGCACCTGCCGCGTACGACACCACTGCCACCACGTCACACCCACCCCACCCACCCCAATCTCAGTGTGTCCGAGCTGCTTCGTACATGCTCCCAGCAGCGGGCCGTGTGGGTCCTGCCCGCCTGGGAAACCCACAAGCGGCTTGGCAGGGAAGAGGGGACGCGGGTGGCGCAGATGGCACTCAGCGGTGAGTGTGCGTGTGCGTGTGAGTGTGTGGTGTATGGTGCGTCTGTGTGTGGTGTGTGCGTTTGAGAGGGGTAGGAAGTGGGAGGAAGGATGGGACTTCGCCGCTGCCGTGTGTTGTGTGTGTGTATGTATGTGTGTGTGTTTTCCCCCTTTCCCTGCTTACCATGTCTGTCTCCGTGCCCACGCTCCAACAGAGGGCGATAACCCCCCAACCCTACTCCCCCATCCCCGTTTGCAGGTGACAAGGTGACTCTTCGGCGCTTCCAGGCGGACGAGCTGATCCACTACTTTGCAAAACTGGCGTACGCCCGAGGCCACGCCGCCACCAACTTCAGCCGGTGGCTCGACTCCGACGTGCCGTACACTGTGCCGTACGAGGTCAATTATGAGCCTTGGTTCATTGGGAGCAGGTAACGGCTACAACATTACGTTCTCTTGGGGCATCTGGTGTTCGTTGGATGGGTTGGTTTGTTCAGTTAGTTCAGTTGGTTACGGCTACAGAGGTGGTGTGGTGGTTGTTTGACTGGCCTCCGAGTTACCCGCCGAGACCGCCTCCGGGGACCGCGTCCAGTTCCAGTTCCGTATGCCACATCAAACTGCTAATGATTAATATTATTGTAATTGTTAATTATTATATTATTATTTATTTATTTATTTATTTATTTATTATTTATTTATTATTTATTATTTGTTATTACTATTATTATTATTGTTGTTGTTGATGTTGATGGGGTGTTACATTGTGGGCGGCTCGTCCCGAGAAAGGACGAGCACCGTCGGGGGCCCTGACCGGGGGCCGAAACACAGCGCAGGGGTGGGCGTTGCTGTTATGGTGATGATGGCGATGATGATGACGACGTGGTGGCTGTCGTTGCTGCTGCTGCAGCAGCTCAACCAATGTCCGTCCAACATGTTTTTGAAGGATTCTTTCCCCCTACCTGCCCGCTATCAGGGCGCTGATGCCGCCGTACGATGTACGATTTCGAGGGTACGGCTGGAACAAGGTACAGCAGGTGGCCCTCGTCGCGATGTCCAACTTCACCTTCTGGGTCCACCCACATGCGTGGCTCGTACACAGACCGCACGAAAAGTCGCAGGGGCAGCAGCTGTACGGCGGCAGTAGCGGCGATGGTGGCGGCAGAAGCGGCGAAGGTGGCTACGGCGCTGTCCGGCAGCGGCAGCAGGAGATGGCCAACCGGCGACAGCGGGGCCGTGATGAGGTGCGTTTAAACCCCTCAACCTCGCAGCCCAGCTCGACTTTTAGTTTCCGTTAACTGCCCAGATTTGATAGGTACCGTAAGTCTTTGCAGGCATGCAAGTAATGTTTTTTCGTTTTGTTTTTTCATTTTTCTCTTTCGTCGGAAAAGCACGGCAAGCGGATATCATATCCCTTCATGTACGATATACCCGTACACCTCCGTACAGCAACAGGATACCCTCACTCTCAGTTTTTCATGACCCGTGGCCCCCCCCCTCCCCTTCGCTCCCTAACATCGCCTCGCCTCCCACCGAGCCCTAAGGTTATCGGTCGGTAAGGTAACCGACCAGCCAGGCTGCCCCCTCCCTCCCCGCGGTGTCCCCCCCCCCAGGTTCGCGTGTGGCAGGGTGTGTCTGCCAGTGTGGGTCGTCTGTTCCACCGGCGGGTGTCCGCACTGCGCCACGTGTCCATCCGGGACATGCGGCGGGGCACCTACGTGGCGGCGGTGGACCCCCAGATTCGCCACTGCAGGGGGGTGCTGCCGTGGTGGCAACGGGAAGGGGGAGGGGGAGGGGGGGAGGGAGGAGATTGGGGAGGGGGGGGAGGAGGAGGGGGAGAAGGGAGAGAGGGGGGAGGAGGGGGAGGGAGAGGGGAAGGGGGAGGGGAAGGGGGAGGGGGGCAAACGAGCCAGCACTAAGTCGCGCTTCTGCTGACCTGGGTGGGTGGGTAGGTAGGTAGGTAGGTAGGTAGGTAGGTAGGTAGGTAGGTAGGTAGGTAATGCTGGGCTGGCGGCGGTGTGAGAGCCGGCCCCCTAAGGTCGGGTCGTTGGGGGTGCTAAGGGAGCGGATGGGAGAGGGCGTGGGGCGAATTACACTGACATCTGAGTGGTGGCCATGTACGGCGTGTGTGTGCGTGTATTCATCAGCTGGTTGGCCCCGCAGGTGAGCTCAGGTCCGGATGGCGTGTGAGCAGCTAACTTTGCCAAAGGGAATGTAGTGTGGCACGGATGTGTAGTTGTGTATTTGTATTCGTGTGTGTATCTGTATGGCTCTTGACTCGAGAGTCTTCTGGGAAAGCGGGATGCAGCGCCACTTTTGTACTCAGGGTGTCGTACGCCAGGATGTGTTTCAAACGTGGCCGACTCTGATGGATCAGGGGAGCGGAGTGTGGAGCGGAGTGGGGCCGGGGGGTGCGGGCTGGGGGGGGTAGGGCTAGCCGAGTACGGAGTGGAGGGTGCAGAGACAGCTTACAATCCGCGGGCCTACCAAGTACCAACAGATAGCTGGCAACCATCACAACCACCTTAACTGCCATAACCACTGTAACCACCATACACGGGAGCACTGAGCACTGCATGCGGGAAGTCCGGATGAGACCGGGTGGAACCCTCGGGGTTGGGCCTGGCAGGCTGTAGAGGAGGTCGGCGTCAGTCTGGGAAGATGTGCGGCACACGTGCTGGCGATTAGGTTGTGGTGCTGCTGAAGGTGGAGCAGATCGTGTGGGTTTTGGCGTGCTGTCCTTTCCTTGGCTTGTTGTGAAAGTGGTGGGTGATGGTATGTGGGAAGGATGGCGAGCCGGTGAGTGTTAAGACTCCCGCGGGCCCTATTATTGCTGTCACCATTCACTGGTATTTGAGTGTCGGTCACCTATCCAACAGTGGATAGGTGGCGCCTTGGCGGCGCGGTGGTTGGCTGGGCTTGCGGAAACTTGTTCTATTACTTGAGCGTTGACCCAAAGGGTGCAAGGCTCCCCGCCAATCCGGAAAAAGTATTTGCTCGAGGACTAAGCTCTAGTAGTTAAGTTTATAAATAGCGGCTTTTCTGCAAGGCCTTGGGCCGTTTCTGCAGGCAAGATCCTGCCTTAGTCAACCTGTAACCGTCAGCGTCCCTCCGCAAAGGGGATTGGGCGCAGAAGGGCATGTGAGGCTCTTATGTCCATGCTAACCATGTTCAGGTGTAGCGCCACACCAAGCTGCTTTGCTTGGAACGCATTGGTAAACCAATGAACTAATTTGGTGTTGTAAGCAAGCCGGACGTATTGTAACTTCGGTGATTAGGTATTTAAAGGACCTGCATAGCAGATATAAACTGAACTTACCATCTGAATTATAATTCAAATATTTCCGCTGAACATGCCGCTATCGGAAGGCGATCCTCCCGGAAACGGCGGAGTTATCCAGGTCATCCAATCGCCAAATGATAAAAAGAAGTATCGATACATGGTGCTGGAGAATGGGCTTCGCGTGCTGTTGATCAGTGATCCGGAAATGCAGAACACGTCGGCGGCGGAGGATGATGGCCAGGTGCGCATTTCGCAAATTCAGCTATGTTACAGAGGGTCATAAAGTCGGATTCTGTTGGCAAAAGGGCTCCCGAGGTCATTTTTGGCGGGGTTATGGTGGGTTACTGTCCATACATGAGACTGTACCCCTCGCATCCCAAGAGTGTCCTAGCAAATCCCGTAACAAGTCCCGACGAGTCTTCTTCGATGCGCATCTAATGTATCCTGTCATCATCCGCAGCATCTCTCTTTCCCCACAATTTCCAAACCTCCCTCTGTGGTTCGGCACTCCCCCTTTTCCGCCAAAGCTACTATGGCATCTCCTGTTTCGCGGCCCCCTCCCTGCCTCCCCGCATGCACTCAACCCCTCGGACCTCCCCCGGAAAGTAATCGAAACACCACCAGTCGATGGCAGCATAGACATGCTGTGCCTTGCTCTCACAACATACACCCTCCGCTCCCTTTGGTGGGCCCCCTTTCCCGCGGGCCCCCGCTCCCCGCCCCGTTCCCCTTCCACTCGGGGGCTCGGCAATGCAGTTTCCTGCGTCTCGCGCGCCACTACGATCCCTTCCAAATCCTTCCCCCCATCTGGGTCGTTTGAAGTTTCCTCCGCACCTCCCCCTCCATGCACCACCCCGCTTCTTTGACCCTCCGCCCCGTCCGTAGGGGCCCATGGAGGTGGAGGGCGGGAGGGGGGCTGCGGTGGGCGGAAAGCCAGCCACCGCTGCCTCTGGCGCTGGTGCCAAGCAACCGCGCCAGGATGGCAAGGGCCGCGGTGCCGCTGCTGCCGCTGCTGCTGGCAGCGATGAGGAGTCCAGCGGCGACCTTATGTCTGGTGATGGTGAAGGCGATGAAGGGGAGGATGAGGAGAGCAGTGGGAGCAGGAGCGGCAGTGGGGAGGGCGATGAGGATGAGGATGAGGATGAGGAGATGACATCGAGAGAAGGGGGAAGTGGCAGCGGGGGGGGAGAGGAGGAGGAGGAAGAGGAGGAGGAGGAGGGCAGCAGGCGCCGCGGCAAGAAGGGTGGTCATAAGGCCCCCGTGAAGAAGGCGGCTGCCGCGATGGCGGTGGGGGTGGGCAGCTTCAGCGACCCCGAGGACCTGCAGGTGTGTCTGTCGGTGGTCCATCTGTTTGTCTGTATGTACATATGTCTGTATGTCCGGTGGAGGGCAGGAAACCGGAGAGGGGGAGGGAGGGGAGATGGGCGGCAAGGACACGGTATATGGAATTTCCTTCACACCCCTCTCTGCCGCTCCCCTTCCCACATGGTTGGTTGCATTCATCCAACTCAGGGTTTGTCGCACTACCTGGAGCACATGCTGTTCATGGGCAGTGGGCGCTACC